CAATAATAACTAAAACAAGCGATCAATTGATACCCATTTGAGAGCCAATAACTGGTCAATACTTACGTTCAACACATCTATCGTCTGACCCCTCACTACACCCGATGTTGTCTTCACATCAATACCAGCGCTGTATTCAATGCAAACCACAAAAATAAGTAACAAATAAAATACAAGTTTATTAAACATTTTAAATTATTAAATATAATAATTAAGTCTAGAGTAAATAAATAGATTTAATATTTATTTATTGATTTCAGCAATATCTACTTGCTTATACAGTATGCTTTTATATTAATTAGTGCCTGATTGATACTATGGTTTTAATCATCCACTTAATATTTGATCTATTTTATTAAGTAAGGTGGTAATTGAGTAAGGTAACAATTTGCCCTAATTGCACTAAATAGTTTAATAATTGATTTTTAAAAATCAACTAAAATCATTATTTTAAAAACCTATTAGCAACATACTCAAATATTCTTATTGTACCTATTATATATAATATGATTTTTAATCAAAATAAGATATACAAAGTGTTTATAACTTTTGCACTACATAACTTGTAATATTATTTAGAAACTTGTAAAGTAGAAATCACATCAATATTTTCTTGGTATAAGTGTATGATATAATTTTATATAGATAAGTAAATGATTTTTATAACTAATGCACTATGCATGCTTGTAGATTATAAAGTATAAAAAGTTTAAAACAACATTTTAATTAATGACAATCAATTTGATTCTGCATTTACTGTTCAATATAGAGATTTTTTAATCAGATTTATACTTATGGTTAACTTAAAAAACAACAATTTAAATAAATAGATATAAAATACTTTCGTATTTTTAAATGTTTAGATTTTGAGTTTTAGAAATAAATAATTTAATAATTAATTGTAATTAAAATTAATATATATATTGTATTGTTGTTTGAGATGTCATGAGATCTTATGATTGATATCTGGGAACAGGTTTTGAATAAAAATGCAGTTTTGAAAACACGTGGAAATTAAACAAAACTACAAATACATTGAATATACGTTTCAAACGTTTGTATCATTGCATTCATTGTGTGATTCTTTTATTATTTTAGTATTAATTAATTATATTGATTTGATTAAAAATGTGTTCAAAATTAATAAGTGTTTCGTTGATTGAAATGAAGAGTAAATTTAATGCAATGAAGAGTTTGTGTGAAATAAGATTTGTTTTTTGATTAAATTTTTTGCCACAATTTTTTCATTACACTTATAT